CATCACATCTTGAACTTGGGCCCCAGGGAAGCAGCAGAATTCCCTACAAAGTGGGTCTGGTCAGCATATTGGGCCTCTTCCCCCTCTGTGAAGAGCCTCCTATGAGGAGAACTCATCTTTTCAGCTTTCTGGATGTGGTTTTGCCACAGTGCATGCAAGCCAACCTCGGCCACACCTCCAGCCTGGATGACCCATGGATCTCCTCAGCATTTGGCTCCACTTTAATGCTTCACATTAAGCTGGTTACTAGAACAGAAATTACACATTTAAGGTGGGAAGAACCTTGTTCTGTGACAGTGCCAGGCTCCTGAATTTCACCCATAAACACCACAGACATGGAAGGTAAATTTGGTGTAATTATCCACTCACTGTAGGTATTTTCTAATTGGAGATCATTTTAAAAGAAAGTGAATCATCCTTCATCCTCTTCCAATGATAAACACATTAAAGGTTGTCCATTTCTTCCTAGTCTGCTTCACATTCCAGATTGGTACACTTAGTTTTCAAAACATGTTCTGAATGAATTCTTTGAATACTCCAAACAGCAGGACCTGCATAGTCCTCCCACATGGAAATACAGACATGGCTAAGATGGAGTTCAACCTACTTGCTTTCCACAAATTCACTTTTCCCATCTGCATGCAAATTTTACTTCAAAAGTCATGGTCTATTAGTTCTTACAAAATTAATTACGCTTTTTGGCAAAAGAGGCAAGAAAATCCTTTGAAAATATACTGCATCAAGACAATAAATCAGCCTGGGTTTCTAGACCAGCTTCCTGAAGATCTAGGAGAGAAAGTTGAAGTCTTCAGTAGGCTACAACTTCCAACTGCAGCAGAGAAGATTGTTCACAGGAGTTTTCATTTTCCCTACTAAGAAAACCCATATCTGCATTTCTTCCTAGAGGCCCTGCTCTTATTGATGCACTTAGATGTTTTAATAATTCCCAACACACTGATCTCTGTTCACACCCCTCCACATTGTTCACTGGTTGATTAGCATTGAAATGAAAAAACTAATAAATATTAAAATGCTAAATCGATGCTTCAGTCTCCACAAGAATACCAGCATTTGTTTAAGGAAATTAATTCTCACTTTCACCTCTTACAGTACACCAGAGAAATGTGAAAGCAAATTATAGGCTTTAGAACATAAATTGGGATAGAAATCAACACTCAAGGGCTAGAAGAAAGCACAATTTGAACATAACTTTGTCTCACAGTAGGTACTAAGTACTTTAAGGAAGTAAATCAAAGGACATTCATTTGTAAAAATATTCCTCTCAATTATCATTTGTTTAAAAAATAACCCCTGATAAAAACCACACTGAACTGGACAGCAAACCCCAAAATGCAGCTTGATATTACACTAATACTACAGACTTGGCAGTTGATTAATAACCAAGCACAGCAATGCTGCTGAATGACAAAGAGGACCTCAGATAGCTCTGCAGCCAATCACAGAATTACAAAGATACTACATACATCAGATCTTTAGAATTCATTAATTGGCAGATAAAGCCAGCTCTTAGTGGAGCTGAAGCAGCACATAAGGTCTATTCCATAACTCTTTGCTTGCACACCACTCCCACCTGAAGAGTCCTCAGTCCCTTGGCACTGCAGAGCATCTTCTCCACACCCACAGGGTTCTGGCCTCCTCCCTTGTCCTTCCCACCAGGCAGCCTCTCTACTGCCTCATCCTGTCCTTCAGACCTGCAACACCGTGGCATTTTCTTGAGAAAGTAGCACCTGGAAGAGTCAGACTGCACTAGTCCCAGCAGATGATCACATTAAGAACCAGTGTAACTTGTTAATTAATGCACAAGACTGGATAAAAGACAGGAACTGATACTTGAATTCTAGATCAGCCCATAGACAAACACTCCAGTTGTGGTGCTCTCCAACAGAGACATAATACACTTTCATTTAGATGATACATTTATTAAATTAGAATGAAAAAGTTAATGTACTTCAGAGTGCAAGAAACATTTGGACACTGGACCTCAATACAGAGAAACAATGTCTTCAGAATTATTACAGCAAAAAAACATCCTCTGTAGGGTATTACATAGCAACCAAACAAGCAGTAACAGTGGGAAGGGGAAAAAACATTCAGTACCATCAGCAGATGCAAAGAGCAATAGAGAAGGAAGGAGTAGCTAGCTAGACAAAAAGTGTTCCTACCTTCAGCAAGGTTAGGCTCTTGGCAGGACTCACACTAGTACTAAGAGCACTAACTTAGCAGAGGCCAGTCTTGGACAGCTGGCTTTGGCTCCAAGCTGCTTGAAACTGTTGAGCAGAAGAGCAGCATCACACACAGGATTATCCCACTAGCATGTTGTCAGAAGCTACAATCATGAGCGACAGTTTGTTTTAAATCAAGAAACAGAGTTTTGGTTCCAATACCATGATCTCACAGACCCTAGAATAACTAAATACTCCCTGCCTTTTCTCATCTCTCCCCAGTTCAAACCTGACAGCAGGTGGTTTGACTGGGAGGATATGCATGCTGAAAAGCTGAGTAGGTTTGTGATCAGTGTTGTGTTCTTTCTGCACCTCGACACAGGAGTTTCAGCTCTAATGCTTCGTTAAGTCAAGACAAAAAAAAATCCCCCAAACAATACTTAAGTATAGTGGAACATGCTGGAATCCACCTCCTGGCCATACTGCTCCTACATATCCCACCTTCAGCTCATAGCTACCCTGTTTTGCATAAGATTTGCCTAGAACAAAACAAACAAACAAAAATTCTAACAGCAGGAGCCACCCTCTGAGGCCCAGAGCCCAGTCTAGGACTAACCCTGGCTAACCTACCATTCCCACTTCCCCCTCCTGGTGGTTAGGATTCAAAGGTGTTTCTTCTGGGCTTGAAATTGAGCTGTAATAGGATGCAGTACAATTTACCAGCCATTAAGTTGAACCATGACCACTTGCTTTTATAAAAAGCTGTATTATGGATCCCAACGTTTTAATATAAAAATTTAAATATATACATTTTCCCTGAACTGTTCCATCCTTTGAAGTTCATGCTATCTAGTGTAAAAGTTAGAGCAAGGGACTCTTCCTGGAGGTATCTAAGCATTAAAACCTTGTCAAGATCGACCCTTTTGGGGGCTGATGTCATAAATCACTGCACTACCAAGACCAAATGCCTCTGCACCTACTCAGCCACAAAATTCACCATGATTGTAGGGAATGGGCAAGACTAGTTTCTTGAGGAACACCCGTTTGTTTTTTTTGGAAAATAAAAATGTGGTGACTCTATAACTAAAGCACATAAACTATAGCCTTGAAACTCATTATTGAAAAGCCAATTAGAGGATGTATAAAGACATTTATGCTTTCAACGCTGAATTTAAGATGGGAAGGGATTCCTAAGAGAAATTAAACTCATATATTATGAAAGGAGAGCTTAAAAAGGTCAGAAATTGGGATGATTTTTGGTGCTGTATTTTCAGAAGTTTCAGTATCAGTTTTAAGTATAAAAAAATAAATATTCATGCTCTACTGCCAGTGCTATGTAATGGATTCTTGAATGTAGGTGGGGGAAAAAAAGAAAAAAAATATTAAAAATCAGCTTTTCAGCAGATAAGAATATTTTAAGCGTGGAACATGAAACAAAGTATGGGGAAGAAGAGAATACAGATCTCTTTTTCCCTATTCCAAACCTGGCTTTAATGTTCTCATGAATCACTCAAGAGCCTAGATTCAAGTCTACATTCATTCCAACTCTTGAAAATATGAAGGTCTATGGCTATCGTAGAAAGTATTTAAAATCAAACATTAAAAAGATAAAACTGCAACATTGCACTTCCTGGAAAAATAAACTGGTGCATACTATTTAAAGTGCATTACTTTGCCATCTACAAAGACACTGCAGAAATGTACCCAGCAGCTGTTAACTGTTGGATAACTGGTGCAGACTGTAAGATTCTGCAGGTCCAGAATGAGCTGTTATCTGAAAAAATAACACTAATAATAAATACAAGCAACCTCCAACCTCCTGAGGATCAGACTAGAACTCAGATATGTTAAATTTTCTCTTAACAAAGAAGTTTTCATATGCATCAAATAGACTACAGCACCTGTAGTCTAACAATTCACTGAGCAACTCAATGCCATTCAAAGATTCTGAAGCTCCTTTTCATGCTTCTTATTTCAAATTACAGGAAAAACTACAGTAGTTTTTCTACTAAAATGATGATTTTGCTGAAATACAGGTGTAAAGAAAGAAGCCTTGCAACCAGATCCTAGATTTCTGCTTTTTTTTTTAAATCTAAGACAACATCTTAAATAATTGTTTACTGCTTCAGCAACTTCTCAGGTATAAAGCTATCTCCTTCTGCACTTACCCTCTGACACAGCCATAGGAATGCAGAAGTGTAGTTAGAGTGCAATTAACAGTGGGAGTACATTAGGGCTCAGTCCTGTTCTGTTACAGCAACACATACTGTATGAATTAAACCTTAACAGGTAACTTTTAAGAGATACATAATGCCAGATGGGAGGAGAAAGCCCCAGATGCACACCAGAGAATATATTGCTTTGGTGCCCGATGACTAGATTGATTAGAAGATGCTCATTACAAATTCCAACAGCACAAACTAAGAAATTTAGCTTATTAAATTAAAAATCTTTAGTCAGAAACAGTTGAATATAACAGCAATAACTAAATACCACTGGACAAGGAAAGGGTCTTTCTTTGTATTTCTGGCAGAAATGGGCTGCTTGATGAAACCTTAATATTTTATGTTTAAAGAGCAAACCCTCCATGCAGAAAAGTGGGGTTTTTTTCTTCAGTCTAACAAACAGTAGTAAATTCTGTACTGCATAGAGTTACTTTGTAAGAACAAGTTTATGAAAAGGGGGAGAGAAAGAAAAACACCCCAGCATTACTCCCCACCCCATCAGGATCCAGCCACAGAGGGCACAGCTGAGAGCAAAGATGCTTCAATGCTATACTGTAGGCCATAAGCTAAACTGAGTATGTACAGACAGAGAAAGAAAGTGAAAAAGATCCAAATGTCCAAGGAGAAAAGGGGTTTATCTTGCACACAGGATGCACTAACAGAAAGCTGCTGGGAATTTTTTCCTCTAGCTAAATCCCTGGCTTGGCAAGTAAAAAGAAGTGGCATTGAGGCCGGGGGCTAGGCAGGAGCAGGGATCTATGATTCTTCAGCCATCTGAAGCAAGGAGTTGATAGCTGCATCCTTGTTCCCCCTCTGGGCTTCCAGCACTGAGCGGATTACTTCCCTGTCCATGTTGGGAAACATGTCCTGGATAGATTTCAGGTCCTCTTCGTTACACAGGTGCTGAGGGTTGACAGCAGGAGGTGGCATTGCCACAGGTACCATGCCTGGATTGCAGACTGCAGGCATCCCTGCAGGCAAACAACAGAAGCAGAAAACAAGCAAAACATACATGAGTGGAAAAAAAATTAACCATTTTTTTTGTTTTAAAGGCTTTTGAAGAAAGCAGCTAATGACTAATGACTCACCACAACCCACCAACCTCAGCATTTTTATTTTAATATGTACTACAGAAAAAAATAAATGCAGAGGTTACACCTAGACTGTTGCCATCAGAATATATTTTTCTGGAGCAGGTCTCTGCCCAAGGTCTGTTCCAGAAGTGAACTACAACACTGGCAACAGGTACAGCTCAGAATTAGGCATGACTTGCCTCGGCCAGGTGTACACATGAATCACCAACCAAACACTAAGTGCACCACAGAAAGAGGTGGTTGGCTCCCCTCCAGCCCCCATCCTATTTTAGCCCCTGCTGTATTTGTTGTGATGAAGATGATGGTTGGACATCAGCAGTGTATGTAACTGACATTTGGAAGTTCAATGAATGCAATCCCCACAGGATTACTAGACAACAGTCCCTCTTCATCACTTAACAACTCTTCTCATTAATTATGCATAGAGCCACTGCTGAAAAAGCTACCATTTGTTTTTATAAATCTGAAGCCAGGTACAGCATACATCTAGTCTAGCATGATACAGTTTCTACATTTGTTCCCTGATTGCATTCAATAATTTTATCCACTGTTTCAAACACCATTCATCTGGTATTTTCAGAGACCAGTCTACAGTAAGTCATGGGCAGTAATGACCAATCAAGAAATAATCACCTAATGTGTGTTAAGATTTTTCCTTACACAATAGTTGAACATCAGCCTTAACATCTGATTTTATTTCCTAATTACTATAATAAGATCCTTCTACAACCTGCTGCAGTTAAGACTTAGAAAACTGCTGAAAGCTTTTGCTTTGACAAACTATTAGTCCCCCTCCTTTGATTAGTTTTTAAAACCTGTGCTGCACCCCAAAGGCCTCTCTGGTCATTAGAGGGTGACTCATCACTTATTTTATCTGTCCATCAGCTTTTCAAAGTAGCTGTTAAACCACAAGAGGACCAGGATACCACATCACAGGGAGTCCTTAGCTGATACACAGACCTCTCTTACCCAGACTCACCCCCCATCATTTCTAGGGTCTGAGCTTCCCCTACATAACTGTGTCTCCATCCCCTAAGTTTACCTAGTTAGCTGTTTCAGATTGGCTCACTCTAATCTCCACAGGGTTTAATCAGTTTATGCAAGAGAGAAACCAGTTACTTCAGCATTTTCTTGCTGATCATCTTAACAATCAGTGTTAAACTCTAAAATGATAATCTGAGGCTCTTTCTCCATAAAGAAGCATTTCTTCCTAAAAAGGACAAACCCAAACCCTTTCTTCCTCCCTGTTATGGTTTCACATTCCAGCTGGGTTTTCTTTATACTCCCTTACATACTTCCATCTTTATAGTCACTTTATTACCTAAATGATTCCAGGTTCTCTGCTTCTATAGTAGTTCTCAACTCCTGCAAAAAGCTTTGTTACCCATCCTTATCACCAGTTCAGATTTAATATGTAATCCAGCCCTCCCACACCCCCTCACTCAGGCACACCTACCTATTTTGGGCAGAAACCTGCTTCACTACAGAGATTTTCTTAGGGTTCTCCAAGAGTGCCTTTTTTTTATTGTATACATTTACTTTGAGCAACTAACAACTTTTTTTTCTTACATAGTTTTTAATTCACCTCTTTAGCTTTCTTTCCATGACCTTAATCACTCCTCCTTTAAGTCCAATAAAGGATTAACTATTCACATCACCACTATTATACCTCCTCAGAATAAGATACTTTTTGAATGAGGTTTCATGTATTCCTCAGCAGATCAAAAGCTGTTTCTTTTCTGTTGGAATTCTGCCTGAATGCTCAAAAAGCATGATCACATAAAGCAGATCTATGACTGACAATTTTCAAGTGCCTCTTGGCAGCCTTATCTCAGCTTAATGACTAAAGCAAGTGGTCAAACATATTGCAACTATATATTACTTCTATTTAGACTTAACATCTCCTAAAAAAAGTTATTTCAATATTCACCTTGTCTCTCCAACATTTTCTTTAACCTGTAACTGTTTCATCAGAAATGTCTATACTCACTCTGACTTGTACTAACATTTTAGCACCTTAGTGATTATCTTTCTTCTGTCAGCTTTAAAAATGCTATATTAAATTTCACATTCAAAACTGGATCAGCTGAACCCACCTTAACTCCCCCCAACTGCCTGAGGAGGTCCTGTACTTGAATATAGACTGTGTGCATTACAGCTGTGATTTTAGTCTTATTTCTTCCCTCAGCTTGGACTTGTGTCCTGTCTGATGGGATGAATGACTGAATTGCAAGCACCTCCACACTTCTCATTGTTCTCCTATTTTGATTGTAAAACTCCCCTTAAGTTTTATTAGAAGCAAAAAAGACTACAGATGCTTTAAGTGTAACGTACAGGCTGCATCCATCAGAAAAGGTTCATGCTGGCAACCAAAGAAGTGTCCCTCTCACCATAAACTGGTCACCTACACACTGGAACCATGTCTGCCCCACCATCTGCATCACACCACGACCTACAGCATCTTCTGCAACAGCCCAAACTTCAGCTCTAGAGCTTTGTATGCAGTTTGGACCATGGTCCCTGGAATTCTGCCTGGCTCTGCTCTGTGTTTGAACACGTGGCAAACCAGACCATGTGTGCACCCTGGAGACAAACCCCTGTGTGGTCTTCACCCTCACTGCAAACACACTTCACCTGATAACCACATCCAGCAGCATGCCAGCCTGCCTCTTCTAGAGCTTCAAACCTCACCTCACTCCTCACACTTCCTACAAGGAATCTAGGTGTTTAAAAGAGGTGAACTAGGATGTATGGCCTCAAAAAAAGTACCTGAAAGAACAAAGCAAGAGAAGTTGTGTTTTACTTCTAACACAAGCTCCCTAATACTCTTCAGTAAGTCACCAGCACCCAAAGATTATCCAGCTATCAGCTTAAGTTGTCCATACATGAGGTCACTTTAAAATATTTAACCCAATAAAACATGAGGCTCACATCAAGCACCACAGCCCCCTACAGCTTACCAACAAGGTTTCAGTGTCTTGTTAACATCAAAATATCAAGACAAGCACACAGCTTTTCTTGCAGCTTTCATCAAAACAAGGTAATTCTCAAGCCAGACATCTGCACAGACAGCATTCAGGAAGGATTGTCCATCTAAATATCCAACTTTAGAGACAAGAAATTTCTTGATAGTCTTGTTTTTCACTAATGATTTTCAAAATCCATTTTCTCAGCTCTCACAGTTCTACACTTAGTTTATGCTGCCTATACAGGGTACTGTGGAAAGTCAGAATGGACATTAGTATCACAATGATTTTTAATAGATAGCTCCACGATAAATGGTTACTAGTCACAAACTTCAGCATTCAATTACAGAACAATAATTTAAAGAGTACCTTGTTTTTTCCTCTTTGCTCCGAACCCAGGCTATAAATATATCAATATCCACAATTCCTGATTTACAGTAAGCAAGACTCAAGCATAAACTTAAAGGACTGGCACACTAAAATTTAGCAAACATACACACGTAGTTATTAAAGCAATAATAAGCTTCAAGATGATCAGTGTATGCTTTACACATTAAGCACCTCATTTTACTGACAGGTGAAAAGTGAAAGTACAGCTTGGAAGGATGGGCTGCTCTGGGGTCTCTGGGGAGTGGGACACTCAGAGGGGAGCCCTGGTCCCCCCTGGAGGAGTGGCCCTGGTGAACATGCTGGTGTGAGCAGAGACATTCCCACAGCGAAAGGAGCACGTACAACAGCCAGAATTGCTACAGGCAGCAGTGGAAGCATCACAGAAGAGTTAACAGGGTAAATGCTTTCTAACTGCACACAAGGCATTACACATTTGTTTTATTTTCTTGTTCTGTCCAGTGTTCTAGTTTTAATTTCTTAACTCATGACTATTCCACCCCGTGCACAGACCCTGAGTAAACTCAGGAAGCTTCTCAGCACCAATTCTTTGGTTTAAAGGCAGAAATCAGTATCACCTTCTTTAAAATGCAGTGCTAAAATATGCCTGCCAGCATCTTAATTTTTTAAAACTGTTGCTTCTTTGCAAATGTCAAGAAAAGTGAGGTCTATAGACCCACAGAAATATTCTACAGTTCCACTGCTCTGAATAAACCAAAAACGTTGCGACAACCAGATCAGTTTTATTCAGCAACTTTCTGAAATTCAGAGCATCAAGAAAAGATGTTTTATCTCCCAAGGAATAACTCTAGAATTTTCTGGCTACTGGATTGAAGACCAATGCTTTCAACAAAGTTAAGGATGTCACAATATCTTTGCACAATTCAGAATCAAAGGTGTCATAGTCATGTAAGTCTAAACTGAAGGAAGATTTTTCCTGTAACATATTTTGCCTTCAGAGTTCTAGTCAAGGTGCTGTGCTTGACAGACCTAAACCAGATGTGCATGAGAGAGAGACAGATGAAAAAACAGTGTTATCTTTTTGAAAAAAGGCTCATTTGGAGATGACAGAGGACAATTGGCAGGCTGTTCTCTCAGTGTCACTGCAGCACTGAGTTCTTTCAGTGTTGCAAGAAATCATGGCATTACCTGCTCCTCCCCAAACCCTGCAGCAGAACAACTGCAAGATTAAAGTTTCTCTTCTAAGAAAGGAGAGCTATCACCTCGATTAGCTCAGGGATATACAGATTCAGAAGAGCACTAACATCACAATTTAGCCACCAACACCATTATCAGCAGTTACTTTAGTTATTACAGCTTGAGGCTGAGCAGAAGCCTTTAAAGACTTTCCAACAGGTTAGAGGGACTTGAACAATTTCCAGTTGTATTAAATCCTTCTCCTGTGACACCCCAGTGGCAATACCTTGTGATACAGTCTGCTGTAACAAAAAGCTGTTTACATGAGTTCATGCAAAGACTGGAGTCAATGAGGATGGGAGTGAGAAAAGAGCTTGGAAACTTACCCAGAGCAAAGTACTCAAGCCCTAAAGACAGGTGAAAATGAAGGGGCAAGGGGAAAGGAATAAGACATGGGAAAGAAATATTAATCTATTTTTAAAAGGAAATGAATCATTTAGCTTCCAAAGGTGAAAGTTGGATAAACTGAGGCAGTTGGGTAAAGCCTAAACGTTGCTAGGATTCAGTCTCCCAACCAATTTGCTTCAGCACTCTGAACAAGTTTCCCAAAAGTGCTGTTTTTATAGAAGTAACAATCACAGAAAAACGTGTTCAAAGGAAGCCAGCCAGGTGCTTACAAGAGGGATTATATTTTATAGCCTGAAGGACAACACACATCCATGGTTTTCTGAACAAATACCAATAACAGCACAAGCTAACCCATGAAACAATGCAAGGAGTAACATACAGACACAGCATTTTCCCTCACTGACAAGTGATCTTCTAGACTGACAAGAGCCCTGAAACACAGGGGGTTTAACTCCAACACCCACGTAAGAAGTAGGTTAAGTACAAAGATTGCCTCTTTATCCAGGGAACACTTAGCTGTTGAGAAACACAGCTTACATATTGAACTCAGCTCTTCTAAAAGCTGAGTTTAACAAGTTCAAATTTTCCCAAACCAAACCCATAGCTGTATCTAAGGCAACTACAGTTTGCAGCAACTAGCACTACTGGCAGCTTTTCATTTTTACAGCTTTTAAAATTAACATGGTGCAAGAATATTCCATGGTCACTTCTCACCACAGCTCTCTGACATCTACAACCAAATGCAGGGAAAAGAGCATTACTAGAGGTGTTGTTTCATGCTTCATCTGCTTACCATGACTGCTTGTCCCTACTATTTAGCTCAGCTTGTGTGACAGACAAATGCAAGCAGAATTAGTTGCTTCAATGTTAATTACAAGGTTAGTTAAGTGTACTAAATTTTGAACAGAAAGTTTGTGTTCTAGAAACAGCAGCTTGGCCTTCATGACACAGCTACATTTGACCTAATGCTGTCTCTTGCTCAAGTACAGCTATTTAGGAGTGAACAAGCAACTCTTACACAGTCTAGGGCAGCATTTTACTCCACCTGTGTTTCTCCCATGTGTAAGACAGATTCTAACAGTCCTGCCCAACAGCAGAATCTCTCTCATATCAGATAATAATCTACTCACTGCTGCTTTTCTGTTCTTCTGAAGGAAACAACCAGAACATGCTTATTGACTACAGTCATTTAACTGGACAGGTAAAAACCCCAAACTAAGAAGGTGGGAAGAAGGTAGAGAGATTCCTGTGGGGCACAGTGATGTCCTACCACTGCCCTGCTTGAAGCAGTCTCAGAGAGAAAACCCTGTCCAGTGTTTCAAAGTGAAGCAACAGCTTCCCCAGAAGACACAACCCTCCAGCTGGGCAGGGCAGAGAGTCAGTATTTGGCATGTACCTTTCTGAAAGAGCTTGCAGAATCCAGGAAAAGCATCCAGTTCAGTGTGCAGAAAACATTCTGACAATACTCCATGTCTCCCAGGACACAACCCTTCAGCTGGGCAGGGCAGAGAGTCAGTAGTTGGCATGTACCTTTCTGAGTTTACAAAATCCAGGAAAAGCATCCAGTTCAGTGTGCAGAAAACATTCTGACAATACTCCATGTCTCCCAGGATGCACTACTGGTTCTTTTTATAATTTGATTTTACTAAGTTATGCAATTCAAATTATAAAACAATAAAAGTACACTGAAAAAAGCCACTTTCAAAGTCCAAATCTAACCTTCCCTCTAATTATGAGTGGGTCATTGATCAGTGAATAGGCAAAAGCTTAAAGCTCAATGCTTTGAGAAATTGATAGTGTCCACAAATTCTAAAACAGCAAACACAAAGTACAGTAATATTAAAAAAGAAAAAATAGGTCAAAGGTAGCAAGTTTGGCATTTATAGAGTGCCATGAAAGAACACTCCAGTTGTCTGAGAACAAAAGAAACATTCAAACTGAGGGGTTGTATTTTTAAAACATTGCAAAGTCCAAGTCATGGAATCAGGAAGAAATTTTAATACAGAAGATTATCATAGGAGTAAAACAAACAGGCTGGACCTTTCCAGAAGGGCAATGCTCCAGCACACAGATCAATTAAATTGTTACACACAGGCAAATTCTTACATGCTAGCATATTAGGAATTACTATCCCTTGCTAAATATTAGTTACTCCCTTGTCCAAGTAGATTTAGCAAGTATACTGAAAATATTCTCAAGATAAACACAAAATATCAAGATCTGACCCTCAAGATAACCCACTGTACTTGTTTCTCAAGGTTGAAGATATTGTATCAGCTTTATCTATTTAGTTCTATGTCTAGTTTCAACTCTATTCTACCTGAAACTAGTCTCCATTTCTGCTGTTTGTGCTCTGGCTGGCACAGTAATCTGGCCATACAAACACCTTCATTTTGATTTGCTCAAGAATTCTCTAGCACCTTCTGTTACATTGCTCCATGTACCACACCAGCTATTGCTTTTCTTTTATCCACACACAACTATGTTTGAAGTTCACTAACTGCTTCAGTAAACAGGGATGTGATGAACCTACAAGAGAGACAGCATCTAGTTCAAACACAGAAAAGCTGCACAGAAATCTGGCTTCCCACAATGGACCTGCACTTCAGGATGCACACACAAGCTGAAACTAGTTCATTGGCAAAGGAAGCAAAACTTAAATCCCAAGGATTAAGGTACAGAGATAAAAGCACTGTGAAGCCAACGTCACGTTTTCATCAGGGAAAGAAGCACATAACCAAACTTCTCCCTGCTCTGCTCTAGCTTAACTCTATAAAAATGAAACCAGGGGGATGTATAATTCTTTAAGATACATATCCAGCCTTCTGTTGAGGTTTGTTTCTACAGAGAAGGAAATTTTAAAGTCTTAATTCCTGACAGAGTTTAAAAATAACAAAATATGTACCTGTTGTGTCAGCCCTGAGCACTGCAACAGTATCCCACACACTCTACCTCTCATTCATACACTGGCATGTACAGGTGTTCAAAATATGTAAATTTACATGTTTTCCCTAAAGAGGGCACATATTGCTGAATAAACATCCACACAACAAGCCACAGCTTTTAAGAGAGATCAGTGAAAAAGAAACCCAACTGAACTGTACTTACTAGTTATCTATAGCAGGGCAAATTCCAAGATGAAAAGTTTAAGTAAATAACCTTGACAGAAAAGCTACAAAACCTAAGTTAACTCATCTTTCTGTGGAAGTCCAAAGCTTACTCTGCATGGACCAAGAGAAGTGACAAGACCTGCTTTAGCTCTTCATGTACCACCACCTCAGAGCTCCCTGACATTCTGCATTCCCTGGGCTGCACACTGCACATGCTGTGTAGCAAGTTTCCAACAAAGCATCTTCAGAGACCACAGAAGAGTCAAGACCTTTATGGGCTATTTGAGCAGCAGTTCTGACAGCACCAGTTATTTGATGCACTTTCTGAAGCCTGCACTGTTTCACACATGGATTGCTTATTTAAATAAGCATACAGAGTGCAGCCTGCTAGATATTGGGTTACTCACTGACCTGACATAAGTCTAAAATAAATACTTCAGAAGAGAAGCCTTCAAGCTAGTTGTTCCAACTTGATAGTCATTTTAACCCATTTAATCAAACTCACATAGCTCCCTTAAACACCAGGCTGAAAGCAGATCTACAGTTAATTCACACTTCTCCTCCCCAAAACGTATCATGGGAAAAGTGGTTAGGCATAAAATCATTTACAGCTTCCTTTACGTTCTGAAAACCAGGAGAAATTTGGTAGTTATTTCTGTAAAACCCTTTATATGGAACTATCAGAAGACTTCAAGGAGGGAGAACATACCTGCTATAGGCACATAGCCAACTCCTTGCTGATACACAGTGGGCATCAGGACCACTGGCTGGGGCTGCATCATCATGGCAGCTGGCAAAGACTTGACACAAAAAGCACAGATTAGAAAGCCTCAAAACAGAAAAAAAAAAACCCTAAACCAGCAATTTAAACAGTATTTGGAAACAAACTGTCCCATTGCAAAGCCATGTTCTGGGTTCAATACCAGAATATGACTACAAAGTGCTGAATGATATTAAGCAAACTCTGGCAAGTTAACTGAACCACCAGCCTTTAAAATGACAATTTCCTTCTAAATCAACAAACACATCATGCCACACCAGCCTTCTGCAACAGTTTGCTGAGTTTTAACACTGAAATTTTGTTCCTGAAGGAAATGATTTTAAAACATGGGTTTAATCTGCTTTCACACCTTATTCCTGTTAAATGAATATAAAATATTTGATATCTTAAAGCAAACCTGAGTCTTATTAAAAGCAGCATCCTGCTCCTAGAAGCAAATTTTAGTTCTAATTTTTTATTTTTTTGAGGTAAACCAGTGCCTTGTACAAAATATCAAATTAACTCCATTCCCTTTCACCATCACAATTTCTGTTCAGTTTGATCCTGGAAATATTTACAAGGTCAGATTCTGTGTCCAGTACCTTCATGGGCAGAGAGTTTTAAAGGTTAATTACAAACTCATTTCTCCTGGGATAAAGGACCAACTGTTCAGAGGTGGAACAGAATGTGAACTTCAAACAGCAGGGAACATCTGTCCCCAGCTGTGCACTCCACAGCAAGCTGGAACTGTTGATGTGGGGTACGAGGGTTGTAGGAAGAATTTGGGACTATCCAACAGGTACTTCAGACAAAGTTGGCCAATGAGGGCATAGTCCATGAGCTGCTAAATGGGCCAGTGTGAGTCAGCAGCTCATAACCAGGAGCAACAAGGGAACAAGAATGGAAGCAAAGACCAAAGTCATCAGGAAAAGCATTCAAGTTACCCAAGAAAGAGAAGAGTTTCCATTATCTTTGCTTTTAAATTGATAGGAATTTCAAAAGATTTAGGAGGGGAAGTTGCTGTTAGATTCCACAAAGCTTTTAAAAGACTCTTATAATTACTGTTAAATTTGAAACAACAATAGAGCATTTGACTGAGGAGTTCTTTATACTTCTATCAGCACAAGAGGAAGCTGTATTTTTGCAACTGCAAAACCAGATCAGTAAACACCCATTTAAAACACCATTATAAACATCTCATCAAAAACTTATTTACTGCCTTAACCAATAATTTTGACTGCTATTCCCAAAGTTAATGATTTAAAATGTTAACACCCAGTAAGGTACAATAGCACTCCTTTATTTCAATCTGAAATATCTCCTCCCCACTACCCGAGAGGCTTCTCCCCCTTCCTTCTCCCCCCCTTGGCTCACCGTGTAGGACATCACCAGGTTAATCATCCCTTCCTTGTCATCCCCCTGCCTTCCACTCAGGCTGTACCACTCATCCTCCACGTTCCCCTGCTTCAGAGACTCAGGGATGGTGATGTGTGTCCAGGCGATGCGGTCGTCCATGGAAAACGCCCGCTGCAACAGAATTCTTAAAGTGTTATCAAGTTAATTGTCCTGAAAAACTAATTTAAAAATCTTACAATTGTTCTTGACCAACACTTCCTTCAGCTTTCTGCTGTTTCATTTTGCCAATGCTGTTTCATTTTGTCAGTTTTATTTTTAAGCTATTCCTTCTGAAGTTACTCAAGTGCCAGTAAATATTTTAGTCATCTCCTTCCTGACAAGGATGAAGGGTGCTTTAAGTGGAATTATAAATAGATTGCAGATACCTAGTAGCCAGAAATTTAAAACCTGAAGTCAAACACTTCTAGAAATACAACATGCTCATATCAGCTGAGTCTGTGAATCTTGTGACATCATATCAGAGGCCATCAAATGAATGTAAACAGCTTCGTTTGCACCTCGGCGACAGGCTGTGAACTCAGAAATTCAAGAGCAGAGACAGGTCCTGATCTGCCACCCCTGTGGCAGCAGTGAAACACTTCAACCCACCAGCTAAGCCTCCAAAAGAGCACCCAAAAGCCCCTCTTGTCTAATGCCCATGCAGCTGCTGCAGCCTCATGTTTTACTACACACAGTAAAAGAGGCTGAAAGAAAAAAAGCCACGGACTTTAGCCTCAGTTTCTACTACTAAATCCTAGTGGCTGCACACAGGCTGTGTTTGACAGTTCTGTTCTCAGCATTTCTGAGCTTAGAAGCTAGTCCTGGGTTAGAATAACACTGAAGAAGTTCTGAGCAAAGCAGAATTGTATGAACAGACTATTTTTAGTAGGGACAGTATAGAATATAAGGCTGCAGGGCACTTTCATAGCAAAGAGGAGCTTCAATACCACTCAGCCGTGTTTTATGTCCCTTCTTTGCAGGGAAATCCACTAATGCCCCTTATCAGCTACCAAAGGGCAAGTAACAGCTCTGACATCCTTGGGGAAGAGTGAAGCCTTAAGCATTATTGCCCTTTCTGAAAATTTTTTGGCATCTCCCCAAGAGCAAGTTTCTGCTGAGAAACAGCCCTTGGTAACACAATCCTTCAGCGCAAGATTGCACCCAAACCTCAGTCCAGAGATGGGGAGGAAGTTAAAAACCATACAGCAGCTCTGACCTCATCAAATATCTCCAGGTAGAAGGAGTCCACGCCGGGGGGCACAGTGCACTGGATGACCTTGTTCCAGCGGGGGTTCTTGGCCCCGTTGTGGGCCGTGGGGGTCTCGTACACGGCGTAGCCCAGGCGGATCCGGCAGTAGGGGTCCATCCGCGTCATCCCGTAGTTCTTGGCCAGCTTTGCCTGGGAGGAACAGAAACCCTCTAAGTGTATATAACATCAACTTGAGGAGTTAATTGCTATCAGCTCACAAAGAGAATTAAATATTCAACAAAGGACTAGACCTGAGTATGAGGTAGACAGGAAGGGAAAAGAAATAATCAAGAAAAACAGCCTTCAGATTAAAACATGACCCAATGATGCCAGTAAATGTCTGGGAGACCTTGGAGAGGAATCTCTCTTTAACCTGCCTGTTGGAGAACATACACATCTTGACCAGAGCTAAGTTGCTTCACACCAAACACACAAAATTACAAGGAAATAGTAACAAGTTCCATTTTTGCCAGTACCTGCTCTCTGACACACCATCACACACTTAACATCAGTGCCCCATCCCCTTTCCCTGAACAGCTTCTAAAGGATGAAGCACAGCAACCCAGTAGCTTCAAGATTCTCACACAACACAAAAGCCCAAACCACCAGTTCAGCTGAGGTAAAATCCAGTAGATCAGACTTTTCCAAGTGATTAAACTACTTAATTCAGTGTGTGCATTTGTTGTGACTTGAGCAACGTGAGTTCTGCATTACTACAAAACCAGATCCTATAGAGAGCCAGAAGACATCCAAGAGACTTTTGCTGTGACATCAGAGGAACAGGACAAACCAAGCTGATGACAGTCCTACTGTTGCATAGCTATTGCCACCACAGAAATCTGACTTTTTGGGCAGGCTGTTGCTCTGACCTGTACTATAGCTTGGTTTTTGGTGGTTATTTTAACAGTAAGACAAGGACAAAGTAGTGTCTAGGACAGCTCCCACCTACAGGACACTTCATTTAAAGAAGTGGAGCAGGTGAGACTTGCATCAGATGTAGTCACAACTGCTGCAGCTCTGGCCTGGAAAGTTCTTTCCTCCTTCCAGGCACATGGTGGTTCAGTAAATTCATGTGCTAAAGCTGGTGAGGAAGGTCTCAAGCTGTCTCTTGTAATTGTGGGCTTAACAATTAAAGCAGGAAAGCTGGCACCTCAATTACATGCTCTCTCGGCTCTGAAGTCCTGAAGTTGAGCAGTTTACCATAAAACTTCACCACAAGAAAAAAAGAGCATATAAATTCTGCCTAGTAATTTAAGAGGACACAATCACCACCACTAATACATTTCTGCAAGAAAAAAAAGCAGTAAATGAGCTTCCCAAAACCATCTTCTCCTCTTCCACTGGTTTATTAGCACCAGAATTAAGCCATGTTTAATTCTGACAGTGTACCAACATGCATTTAAACACAGAAGACTTCAGCCAGCTTTTCATGCTCCACAGGTTAACTATGCTGTGGTAAGCCTCCTATCCACAGGGCCACGTGCCTCAACAAGTGCTCCCACAGCACAAACTCCCAGATGGGCACAGAAGAGTCTCTCTCTTGGGACACCACAAGGTTGTGCTGCTGCTCAGAGGGACCTGGACAGGCTGGAGAAGCACAGATAGGAACCTCAAAGCTCAGCAAATGAAAATGCAATGTTCTTCCCCCAAGGGGGAATAGCCAGGTGCAGCACTATAGGCTGTGGGTCAACTGGTTGGAGAGCAGCTTTGCAAAGGAGGACCTGGGGGTCTTGGTGGAAAAGAGCCAGCAAGGCACCCTTCCAGTCAGGAACACAGCATCCCAGGCTGCATTAGAAAAACACAGCTAGCAGGGCAGAGAAAATGACTCAGCACTGGGGAGACCATATCTGGAGTACAGTTCTCTTGAGTCTCAGGCTCTAGAAGACATGTTCATATTTGAACAAGCCCAGCAATGAGTCATTAACACAATTAAGGGTTTCAGAGTCACAGAATGGCCGAGGTTGGATGGGACATCTGGAGACTACAGTCCAAAGTCCCTGCTCAAAGCAGGGTCAAACAGGCATGTTCTGAGTGTCTCCATGGACAGAACATCCACAACCCCTCTGGGCAACCTGTTCTGGGGTGTGACAACTCTCACAGTAAAAAGGTTGTCCATGTATTGAAATAGTTTCCTCTGTTTCAATTTGTGCTCACTGGGCCTCTTGTCTTTCTGCTAGATAGCACTGCAAAGGACCTATCCTTATGAAGAAGGCTCTTCTCTTATTGCCTAAAATATTCTCAGAATTGCTGATGTCTTTCAATATTAAATGCCTCCACAGGAAGCTTTCTGAACAGAAGTCCTCAGAGAAACCTGTTCACTGAAAAAAGCCCCGAGAGTTTATTTGATTACGTGTGATAATGGCAAGGCTTACAGGAAATTGCTGCAGCAAGCAGCTATGAAACATGAAGCTGGACAAAACGCTGATGTCTGTAAACAGGAAGCTACAAGAACTTTAGAAATTACTCATTCCCTATAGACAAGTCATTTAGTAAATCAAATTCCAACACAAAACATTGTCACCACCGATGAAAACAGTGGATTGTGCTAATTACAATTGGTTAGCTGTACAAAGGTGGCACGACTTTTACCTGTACCACAGTAATGCTGAGCCTGCCCACGGTGCCCAGGGGTCCCCCATACTGGAGCTGCTGAGCTGCCTGGGCATCCAGCTGGATTTGCTGCTGCTGCTGGGTCGGGGTAATGCGGAGGAAGTCCTGAGGAAGCTCACCAACGTACACCTTAAAGAGACAAAGAGAAAACACCTTCAAACTTAAGTCTACTACTTTCATAATGCAAAAGAGAGGAGAATATAAACCAGAGAAAAGCTCAGCAAAAACACTCAGCAGGATTTAGTCCAGTTTTGACAGCATGAAGAACAAACTAATGAAATGACAAAACTGCCAACTCACATAGACAATGTTCTCATGTTCACTTTCAAAACACTAATTTCCAACATAAGCCTCTGAAAAAGAAGTAGGACAAAGAGCCAAGGCTGCCCTGCAGCTAAGCATTGACAGTCCACAGAAAAGTCACAACTCCTGAGTTTGGCATCCCCTTGGTACACGACATCTGACAGCACCCAGCTCTTCCACTCACCACTCACTGCACTCAGCCATCCCTGTGACAACACACAGCACACTGCTCCCATTTCAGGTCACTTCCACAGTCACCTTCAGGATGGCTCAGGAAGACAATATTTCCTATGACCCAGATCCTTCAGCTTAACTAAGATGCCCTAATGCTCTTCCAAAGTTAAAGAGAGACTGCCAGCCTGCAGCTACCTTAGGGACGACCTGGGGACAAACTGCACCCTACTCAACATAACAGAGGAATTCAAAATGTGCTGTCAGAAGAAAGAGCCATGATCCACTACAGGAACTCTGTCACACGTGTCAGTGTCACTCTGCTGTCACCAGGTATTTTCTGTTGGCTTTAAACACAGGAAAGTTTCACTGTTACCTGTCAATTCAACATTATCAGTAACACAGAGACATCAGCACATTAAAACAAAAAGCACAGTATAATAAGATATATAATATTAGAAGGGAAACAAAGCAGCACAGCAGGTTTATCATCAAGCTGACCTCATGCCTGTTGTCTGCAGTCCCTTGCATACCTGATGCAGCACTCTCCACCCAGCCAGACAACAGAGAGTGCAGCTCCTCCTGGTGCAATCCCAGGCCAGATTACTCAACTGTACCTGGCAGACACACGCCTACAGAACGTCACTGCAGAAGTTAACAGGCCTCTAGGACACAGCTTCTGAAGATCAGACAGCACCCGCACGTCAGGACTGCATCTTGGAGGTGGAAACTGCAGCTCCTGCCAAAAATCACTTTCGGTGTGACTACTGCTACCCGAGAGCCTCGGGAGGCTGCCAGCAGGAGGTGTTACATGCCAGAAAGGAAGCTTATCCAAAAAGCTACTGAGGAAGTACTGAGTGCCTGCTGCTAGGTTGTTACTGGGAAAGAGGGAGAAGAGGGAATCAGTTTTGCTTACAAGCATCTTAAAATTTTGCAGCTAAGATCCTAAGTAGCTTAAGTTTTAAAGGGGTGGAGGGGGAAGCAGGCAGAGAGGGAGAAGAGTAAAAGGCAGTGTTAATATGAAAAGAAAGCTTATTTAAATTAGCCTGGAAATTAGTCAGGGTCTTGTAGCAGTCACTAGAATATGTTACTAAAAAAGTGGTTTTAAAATAAAACCTAATCCACTGAGGAGGGATTTGAACTGGCCCCAGAATGGGCAAGGCAATGGCATTTACACAGGAGCAGATCCCCCTGACCCTCCATGAGTTCCAAATCTGGCACTGTTAACATCTGTAGGAACAGGCACCACAGAATGGGCAAGGCAATGGCATTTACACAGGAGCAGGTCCCCCCTGATGCTCCACGAAATCTGGCACTGTTAACATCTGTAGGAACAGGCACCATGAACATTTCCCTGGGCAGCAGTGGTGGCTGCAGCTCTGAAGTGACACTCCCACACCTGCAGCCTCCCTCTGGGCACCCTGCAGAAAACAGGACAGAGTGTTTGTCTCCAGCCTCTGAACACGGGCACTGGAAAGCTTAGTTCAGTCACAGTGGAGGGTTAATAATATCCTTCACACTCTCAAGTCACCTAAATGCTGCTCCAAAATAAAATATATGAAGCAGTCTCTGTACTGAGGGACAAACGACAAAATCTGTATGGGACACCAAAGTTTTCTCACCACATATGAGCTGATTTTAGGTCACTCACTAAAATACCCAGGAGAGATGCTGAATGATGGAAATTCACTCATTACTCAATAAATTCTTATGCTAATTATCAGTTGATTCCATACTGATGGAGACAAAGCAGTAGCATCTAATCTTTTTACCTGTAAAGAAAACAAGCTTATTTAAACCTTCCTCAAAGCATTTCAAAGCAGGCCCATAACTGCCACCTCCAAACCTGAATGAAACCACCAAGTCAGGGGATGGGAGCTGGAGTTTTGTTGTGGAGAAGGTAAGCAACAAGCTGGTATCACTCATTCAAACCCACTCTGCCATTAACTCCTGAAGAAAAACTTAATTCCAGTTAACATCTGAATTTTACTAGAACTCTCTTTTCAAGCAAGACACCAATATGACAGTGCTAAGATAGAATTCTAATTCAGAAGACAAATGTTGAACAGGCAGTCATAAAATAAATAAACCTGCCTTGCAATTACTTCCCAATAAACTTTATTGGCAGCATTGCATATGAAATTTATGAGTTGTCTAGAAATAAACTAATATTGCCCTTCCTGTCTGCTAAAACCACTTAAGAGCTAGTTTTGAGGATCTCCAAAGTGAAATCTTGCAGGTATAAAGATTCCATCTCAGCTTCCTCAGCCTGGAGGTGTGTGATGTGCCACAGCTATCCAAGCTGCTTTGGGCCTGGTTCTGTCCATCCCTGCTTCTTGGGCAACATTCCATGGTGCTGAGGCAACTGGGAAGTGCCCTGTGCAGGGGGCTCATCAGGAAAAATGAGACAAGGGCTGAAGGTAAAGGGAAGAGGGAACTCATCAGGAGCCTTACCTCATTAACTGATCATCTGGATACTGGTACCCACAGGAGGGAGGGAACAGGGACACAGTGCCAAGGACAACCACAAATGCCCTGGCTTACAGACCCACAGGCTGA